TGTCATCACTATGTATGGTGTCAGATGGGTACTAGGCTTATTGGGGTGATCACTTCATAAGTTATACAAATGTCAAATCACTATGTTGTACACATGAAACTAATATAATTTTGTATGTTAACTAATTGAAAAATATTTTTTTAAGTTTTTTTTTAAAAAGAAAAAAGCACTTCTCCAGGTATTCACTTGGAATCCTAGAATAGAATGAATAGTATCTACCCCTACGCATGCAATCTTGCCAACATTTTCATTAAGTTTTCCTTTTAAAAATACTGAACTCAAAATGAGAGACACTTCAAACTGGCATCTCCAAATGGTCCCCTTCCTCGGCACCCCTACCCCATACATACAGAGAGTTAAATGGATTCCCTTTCTAATATCCTGTTTCTGTTAGTGGCACCACAAATTTTCTAATTCATAACTCAAAATCTTCATCATCTTTGAATTCTCCTCCCTTGTGCCTTCTATCTTCCAATCTGTTATCAAGGACTGGTGATTTTTTTCTTTGCAGTATCTTTCTCTTTTTTTCCTCCTACTCCCCCTGAATTTAGATTCCAGCCTCTATTACTTCAGACTTGGACTACCATAGCCTCTTAACTGGTCTTCTAGTCACCAATGTCTCTATTCTCAAATCCATACACTACTGTCATCCTAAAATGTTGTTTTCATCATTTTCCCACTAGATTGCAATTCACACCATGGCAGGGACTCATTCATCTTTAAACACTGTATAGCCTGGCATATATGCTTAATTAATCAATTTTTATGTAATGAATTAATGAATACATAAATCACATCACTCTTCTTCTCAAAACTTTAATTCCCCACGGTCTACATTTAAAGTTACAAACTCAAATATCTAAATACCTACTGGGGCCAGGCAGGAAATGTGAGTAAAGGTGTGTGTAAAACAACAGGAAGTGGTGGGTACTGAGGCAAACTAGAGAGCACACATCCCATCTAAAGAGGCAGCGGCTTGCTGTTTTCACAAATTGCTGGCATGATGAAATACAGGCCCAGTATTGCCAGGTCCTCTGATTTTTCAACATAAGTTGAAAGCACAGATTTCTACATAGAATCTGGTTTTTAAATAGTGAGAACCAACTCCATTTAGTTGTTAAAAACTACTAACTCCATTTAGGTAAAAAACAAACCCCCCCAAACACTGTGCAGGTCAAACAAAACACATTTATGGGCCAAATCCAGCCTTCAAATAACAAGTTGATGACTCTGCTCTGTAGGATAAAAGAGCAGACATTGCCTAACATTCCAAGTCCTCCACTGTGAATTCTGAGGCCACCCTGCCCAAGTTTTTTGTCCACTACTTCCATATAAGAACCCTCTGCTCTGGACCAGCAGTTCTCAAACTTTAGCATGCATGAGAGCCACCTGGAGGGCTTCTTAAAATAGACTGCTGGGCCTCACTGCCAGAATTTCCAATCCAGGTCGCAAGTGAGGCCTGAGAACTTGCATTTCTAACAAGTTCCAGGGTGACACTGGTGCTATTGATCTGTGGACCACATTTTTGAGAACCACTGCTCTAGTTGAATTACTCCTACTCTCAAGCACACACTGAATTTCGCTCACATTTGTTCTACCTTCCCTCTTCCTTTTGGCCCACCTCCAAAGTAAACTTTGACTATGACAGTCTTTTCATGCCTCCAAATTCCTGTAGCACTTAGGAGCCATGCCATCTTCCCTTTACCCATCACTGTTTAGTGTCTTTTACTGTTAACTGTGTGTATAGGTACCAAGAAGGTTGTGTATTCTCAGAGATCAATGTCCAGGTCAACACTTTCATACATCTGACTGTAAGCCACTTAAAAGTAGGGGTCCTGTTTTGTTCCTCACCATATCCCTCAAGCTGTAAAAAAGCCTGGTATACAGTTGGTACTCACTAAACGGTTCTTAAATGAATGAACATGTGACAGAGCCATGAAATGAATGTGCAGATAAGGGGGCCTGAAATTTGGGTATATAACTTTTGTTAGAGAACTTTTATTTCTGTGTAATAGCTTGGTCAGGATGGACAACTAATAAAAATTGGGTATTTTGCAATAAATTTCCAATAGGTAATAATTATCTGTAGCAACACATTTTGTATATAAATAAAACAGTGAATGTTTAAAAATCTGATTTAAAAATTGATAATGAGACTAAATCCTTGATCTCCAGGATTTCTTACCCCTGCAGGGATGTAAACTAGTTACATCACAAGATGAACCTGTTTAATAGAATTCTGTATTTGCACCATATGCAATAAAAAAGCAGAATGAAAGTAATTCCCCATGATACTCAGAAATATTGATCAGCCCCTTTAGATACAGTTTGGATGAAAGCCCTCTGGAAGGAATAGCACCTGCTATCAAGTGATTTCAAGGATCATTTATGAGTAGAAACTTGGTCTCCAAGCTAAACCAGAATAAAGCCACAGAAGACTTTATAGAGTAAACCCAATTTTGGAACTACTAGAAGAAAAAATTAGAAACACTACATATTTTGATAAATAGCCCTCAGTTCTTACTTGGCTTTTTTTTTTTATAACAACTCCACACTTGGTGGTATTATAATCAATGGGAAAAATTAACATCATTTGGCAAAGACAGAGAATCCAACTCAGAAACAAAACAAAACCAAACCCCAGGAGCATATGAAGCACATTTACAGCTTTAAGCTAGCAGATGTTACCTTATATCCGGATATTTGCCCTACCTACCAGGACCAGAATGATCTTGTTTGCATGAAGATTCAGCCAAGACACCCACATTTCTATGCTGACCAGGAACTATTCAAACTGGGTAAAAAATAAATGAATAAATAAATAAATAAATAAATAAATAGCCAAGTCAACAAAACACTAAGTGGCTTACTTCAAGTTTTAAAATCATTAGCATTCTAAATAATGAAACAAATTTATTCAGTAAAATAATCCTGAAATTTCATAGTAAAACTACCTACTAGAAATTGTGGAAAGAAATGCTACCAGATGAATTGCTAAATAGTAACTTCCTACTCTACTATTTTTAGCATCAGATGTTTCTTACTAACAGATGACTGAATAATAAATAACACCCAGTTCTTTGGTAGAGAATGTGGAGGTTCAGAAGGCTAGATTCTAGAACTATCTCTACTACACTATGAATCTCGGCATTTCTCTTAGCCATATTCATATCACAACAGTTCTAACTACAAAACCAAACTTGTAGTTAATAAAAATGTTGTATAATAGGGCCAGCCGAGTGGCTCAGTTGGTTGAGTTCACTCAAGAGTGCGAGCTCTGAGCAACAGCAGTTACAGTCCTTCTGCTGAGCTGCCAACAGGTGGCAGGGTGGCTCAGCTAAAAAAAAAAAAAAAAGTTGTATAATAAAATAACTATAAAGTATATACTATAAAATACAAGTATAAAGTATTATGCTCATATTAAGAAATAACCTTGTTACAGTCCAATTTTCATGTTTATAAATGAGTCTGTAGGCCTATGTTCAAACAACTAAAGTTCTGGAATGACTTTCATATTATCCAGTTACCAATTTTTTTAATGTATTCCAACTAGAGCCTGTGACAGACGATGCCCTACCCTTTCTTTCCTGCAAGTTATCTATCGGGTGCATTTTCAGAACCTTAGTCATACAAAATTTATCCTAACTTTATAGATTTCGTATCAGAGGAAACCCCTTCCATGTATGGTGATTCCACCATGTACCCATAGAAGTGACATACAAAAGAGGGGGAAATGCACCGGAAATAGATTAAGCCACGATCATACCAGAAGATGGTATGTCTTAAAAAGATTTTCAGTGCTAATAGATCAGAATTTTTCACTCTAAACACAGAATTCAGAAACTAAGTGAAAAAGAGGGGCTTGGAGGAGAGCATCAGAGGTCAGAGACCTCTGGAAGGGATGTAGGGATTCAGTTCTCCCCAGGGAAGTCGGGGGGGGGGGATGAACAATGAAGTTCTTAAAAGAAATTTTAGACATGGAGGATGACACACAGCTGAGCTTGAATTACAAGTTTCCTATTGCATTGGCACCCAGAATTCCTTATCTGCCTTAATGACTCACTAACTCTCATTGAATGAAGACATGCATCATCACAGAGCTCCTCCTCTGAAAAAGAATACTTTCGAGTACTCCTTTTCATTGGTATGCTCAGGAAAGAAAAACCACACACCCCAAAAGGCAAGAGCTTTCAACTTCATGCAACTTACAGAAAAAAAGGGGATGCGGACGCATGAGATACCAGGAAAAAGGTATCCCTGGCCGGTTCTGGGCGGGCAGCGTCGGCTACGCGGGACAGAATGGGGCCCAGGGCCTGACCCCAGGGCTCTCCTCGAGCCCCGTGGCCTCTCCCGCCCCAGGTGGAATCACTTGTTTCCTCGCCCGCCTCCCGGACCCCAGGACGCCCGCGCGCACTGCCCCGCGGAGGCTGCCACTCTCACCCCAACCACCGCCCTCCTAAAAGTCCTCCATCGCCTCACCAAAAAACGTGTGGCCCGGGAAGTCCACTACATGCGCCACCCCTTACAGAATTAGCAAGTTAGAAGCCAGGACAGGGGAAAGGAAACCAAACGAGTCTGGGCAGGTTCGAGAGAGGCTGAGCAGGGGCGAAAGCCAGGCGGCAGCGGCCACGCAGGCTGAGGCGTGATGAAACGCGAGGACTCGACAACGAGGAACATGCAAAACCGGCGGGGCGGGCGGACCCGTGGGGTAGCAAGTCCGGACCTCGCACCGCTGGAGACGCCCGGCCCGCAGGACGTCGCACCGCCGCCCAGAACTAGCCCGCTCCGGCCTCCCGGTCCGACACCGGGTCAGGCTCTGGAGCCTCCGCCGCTCACACACTCACCGCAAGCGCCGCCCCGGCGCGGCCGCCCGCCGCCCTCGGAGCGACCTCCGCCCCGCCCTTCTCGCCCCTCCCGCTGCGGAATGGGCTCCACGCGGCGGCGTCGGGGGCCACGTAACGGCGCATGCGCTCTCCGCGCGCTGGCAACAGCCCGGGCGGAACGTTACCAGCTTGGCGTGCAGGTTTCCTTAGAGACGGAGCTGGGCCTGGGCGGCGGCAGAGACACTACGACGAGAGGGGGCCTTTGGAGAAGCCGAGATGCCGTCGAAGGGAAAGGGCAAAAGGAAAGACAAGAGCAAAGGCAAAGACAACCAGAAGTAAGGAGAAGCCACGCTGGTGTCCCCTCTTTCTGGGCCTACCCTCCGGGGATTCGGGTCTGGGGACCGCCCAACGAAGGAGTTGGCTGTCACCCTCCCGCTGGCGCCCCTGGACCGTCCTGCACCCTCCTGGATCCACCTCGATCCACCTCTCTCTCTCCCTGATTCTGAGAAGAGCAGTTCCCATTGTTCAAAAATTCCCCAAAATGCATGCCAAATCTTACTGCTTCAACTGAGACATATTTGGGACCCTGAAGTAATTTAGACACAGCCCCTGCCTGTGTGTAATGCATTAACGATAGAGGCAGAGAAGTTCCCAAACAGTAGAAGTAACACAGGACTGAGTTAAATAGGTACTAGTACAGGAACAAAGAACTGAGAATGAGGAGGAAGAATTTTGACACTGAAAGTGAAGGTCACGATAACATTTCTTGGGATATTGGAGGTCCTCTAGACCAGCGCTGTCCAATAGGGTAGTCACCTGTCATGTGTGGCAATTAAAATTAATTAAAATTAAAAATTCAGATCCTCAGTTGTCTAGCCACATTTCATATGCTCACTACGTACATATGGGTAGTGGTGACTATACTCGACAGCCCAGATATAGAACATTTCCATCATCACAGAAAGCTCTGTTAGACAGCACTGCTCTAGACTAGTGGTTCATAACCCAGGACAATTTTGCCTCTCAGGGAACATTTGGCAATATCTGTAAACATTTTTAGTTGTCACATCTGGGGATGTGTGTTACTGGCATCTAGTGAGTAGAGACCAAGGATGCTGTTTAACATCCTGCAGTGCACAGGACAACCCCCCCCCACCCCTAACAGAATTATTTAGCTCAGAATGTCAGTAGTGTTAGTGTTGGGAAACCCTGCTCAAGACTATAAACTTCTGTAGAATAGGTGCTAAGCATTATTCACCATATCTATCTCCAGCATCTAACAGAGACCCTGAAACAGCAGATGCTTAATATTTGTTCGATAAACAAATTAAGGTGTCTGCTTGTGTATCCTTCAACTTGGATGTTTTTTTCCACAAGAACTGTGCTCCAGGTTCATTCTTCCTTGCCCCTAGTCTGAGAGAGCTCTGCTGTGTGGTTGAGATGACCTTGAACATCTAAAGGATCTCTGGATGATTGAAGTAGTTCCTTGGGCCTATTAGGGATTATTTTTGGTTCAAAGGAAAGCCTAAAGCTGCGGTTCTCAACCTTCCTAATGCCGCGACCCCTTAATATAGTTGCTCAAGTTGTGGTGATCCCCAGCCATAAAATTATTTTCATTGCTACTCTATAACTGTAAGTTTGCTACTGTTAAGAATTGTAATGTAAATATCTTTTTGTTTTCCGATGGTCTTAGGAGACCCCTGTGGAAAGGTCGTTTGACCCCCAAAGGGGTCGCGACCCACAGGTTGAGAACTGCTGGCCTAAAGGATTTGACCAAATTGGGTAATTGTTCAGATTTCCCCAAACTGATTCAAACCCCTCAAGTGGATATTGCTCTAGCACTAATCCTTTGCAGGCTTAGAGTTGTTGCTAGGTTGACACTAGATCTATTGGGTGACCCTGGAATTTCCTTGTCATAACATGTCCAACAACACTGGGACCACGAGGGAATCCCCACACTTGTAAAATTTGTGAAGTAAGTTAAGAGAGTAATGTATGCTCAGAAAGTTTAGGAAATAGGGAAAGTCAAAGGAGGAAACAAAAATCACCATCATCTAAAGATAAGCACTGCTATCATTTTGAGACATTCTTTTTTTTCTTTATAAAATGATAGCCCAGTGTACATATTTATTTGTAGCTTCCCCCCATGTATTAATATAAGTATTCTTCTACAGTGTGTTTTTTCATAACTGCATAGTTAGTCCACTTTTTTAAAGTGCCAAGGGCTTACCACATTCCTGGAACTCACTAGCATATGTTTTCTATTTTTGACTGTGCGTCTACAGTACACATATCAACAATGAGGAACGTTGAGGGTAACAGACCTCTTATTCCTGGGATTTTCCATGACTCATGGAAACAAACCCTGCTTTGTTTCTACAATTAGTATTAGTGGTCTTCCTATGAGAAATCCTACCTGATTTCTTGCATCAACTACTCTGAGCAGGTTAGACTTGATAACTTCAGGGAGCAATTGGATGATTGTAACAAGGCAGTCTATCACTACTGCCTAAGTTATGCTGGAAAGGGAGGTCAACAGCTATAATAGGCTGAGGGTTGGGGATGGGGCTGACCTTAATTTGTAGAGAACAAACGGTGAGAGTGGGACTGAAAAGGGGTCAAGAACCAGGAGTTGAGGAGTGGGGATGGAGGGTGACAGTATAGAAAGGTACACACATACTTATGTGTGAAAATATTTAGAATTCAAATAATGGGTGAGCTTCTTAGTTAGTATCTAACTATATATCCAGTGCCTATCATATATAAGGGATAGTGTTTAGTTAATGCTCATACAATAAACCTTTATTTTGAAAAATCTCCCCTTTTATCATTTTAATCTTTGAAGCCATTTTTTAAGCCATTCTTTATTGTTGTTTTAAAATTTCCTCTCCACATCTGTATAAATGATTATGGATTGTTTCTCAGCCATCCTTAAAGCCTGGTCCATTATGGTGCCAGCAGATAAAGTATTTAACATACTTGCCCTAGTGACTTGATCTTTTGTCCAAGGTCTAGTAAAACCAAAACAAAACCCAAAACAACCTAAAACAAAAACAAAACGGGTTAGGATAGGTGGAAGATTATAGAAATATGGACTTAAAGTTACAATTACACTACAAATATATCATGCAGAAGAGGAACTAAGGTAATGTATTTGCAGTGGAGAGAGCCAATGACTAATAAGACTGAGTGAGTAGGGATAGAAAAGACAGTTCAAATATGAGAGACTCAAAGAAGTGAATGAAAAGATGTGAAAGCTTTATGAAATGAATTTGACTTATCATGCCTTTCCTCTGTTTTTCCAGTCCTTTAGAGTTAAGGTTTAAAGCTCCCCTATTCCAGGAAGAAGCACCTACTAAAATAACTCCCTTATCAAGTAAATATGTATTTCTTATTAACTGATTTGTCCAGTGATATTTGCTCATGTGTGCCAGGCAATCCCAAACAAAACAAATAATAATAGAGAGATGAAATGTCACTATAGTAGAGAATAGTTATATGCTATCGATGTCCTCTTCCCGTGTAGGAACACAATAAAAACTGATGAATCTGCAGTGGAGAGAGCCAAGGCCAATGCTCTCCTTTGGGAGGGCAGGCTGGAAGTCACAGAACTTTCTAGGATTGAGTATCGTGATGTTTCCCGGAGACTTGCAGAAACTAATGAGGACTTAAAGAAACAGCAGTATAAAATGGAGAAAGACACAATGTCTGTATTAAACTACCTGAAGAAGCAGGATCAGGAGAAAGATAATATGGTAGGTAGGTAGAAACCCTCCTGAGCCTCAGTAACTACCTCTGTGTTATACTTGTGTGGTTATATATTTCAAGGATTTTAATTCCTTGAAATCTTATCATGTAGTTAAGGCAATTCAATTGACTTTAACTCTCCTTGACGCAGGACACTATTTCAGAATGGCTTTACTGTCATGACTGGCCCTTTCTTATTTTCAGTTCTTGCCCTATGTTCTTTTGTGTGAAACAGATTGATGATCATAAAGGAACATTATGATCCAAGGATAAGAGCATGGTATATGATCTGTATAACTTTTGATATTGATAAATAGTTTTGTGTTTGTTTTGTTTTTTTCGGGGGAACAGTGTGTTTTTCCAGGACCCATCAGCTCCAAGTCAGGTAGTTATTTCAATCTAGTTGTGGAGGGTGCAGCTCAGTGGCCCATCCAGGGATCAAACCAGCAACCTTGGTGTTTTGAGCACTGCGCTCTAATCAACTGAGCTAACTGGCCGCCCCTGATAAATACTTTTAATGATTTGTAAAGTAACTCACTGATAATTCATGATCACATGATTATGAACCCAGCAAGTTGATCTTGAATTTATATTATTGTACCTTATTTAAGGGTTTGAGAATAAAGCTGTTGTTTTAGATCTGGAAGAAAAAAGGATGAGAACTAACATTTTGGTGTCCCTATTTTGTGCCCGGCACTATGCTAGGAACTTAACTCTGTTACCTCATTTAGTCCTTTTAATAACCCCATATAGCTGTTGGGGTGTTGTAAAGGAAAACAATGTTTTATCATGATTTTGCTTCAGCACTTTGGGACAAATTTAAAGTCCTAAACTCTGGGGGGAAAATTTCATTCCCATTTTATAGATGAAGTAAGTAACTCTGAGAAAGGACAGGTAACTTGCCCAAAGTCACCAGCTAGTAGGTGTTAAAGTGGAATTTAGGTGAACTACAAATTCTTTTTTTCCATCTGCCTCTATGAACCCCATGGAAATCCAAGGAAATATCCACCACTCTGAGGATGATGTGTTTCATCCCCATGTATGTTTTTGTACTTTCACTATTTATTATGTATCCACAAACAAGACATACCGAAGTCTTGTTTTAAATTTTACATTAGTAGTATCATACTGTATGTGTCTTTTGCAACTTGTTTTTTTTTAAAGATATTTTTGGGGGAATTGGGAGAGAGGAACAGTGTTGGGGAATCAGGGAAAGGGAACAGACAAGTTGCTGTCCTGTTGTTCTTCAGTCTAGTTGTGGAGGACATCGCCTCACTGGCCCAAGTTGGCACCATCATTGCGCTCTTCCGGGGTGAGGCAGATCAGTCGCCGGCCTCTGGACGGCCGCTCACACCGGCTGCCGGCCGCTCACACTGGCTGCTGGCCACACACGGTAGCCCATGGCAGCCCACTGCAGCAGGGGCTGCAGCCCACGCCGTAGCTGGCGACTCACGGCAGCCCAGCTCCAGGTCGAGCTGTTGTTCACCATCTTAACTGTAGAGGGCAGTGTCACTGGCCCTCATGTGGGATCCGAACCAGGTCCCTGCTGCTCAGAGCTGGCATTCCAAGCCAGCTCTTAACCAACACGCTACTCGGCCGGCCTTGCAACTTGTTTTTTTACTCAACATCTTGTTTTTGTGGTATAGTCACAAAAATCACATGATAGTTCATTTTTAAAAAAATTTATAAAGAGCATGCTTTTTTTTTCTTTTTTTTATTATTAGTTTCAGATGTACAAAACAATGCAATAGTTATCCTTTTCACCCTTCACAAAGTGACAACCCTCCTCCCCCATCTACTGTCCCCTCTCCCCTGATATATGTATCTATTACAACTCCATTGACTCTTTATTTTTTCATTTATTCTTAACTGCTTTATAATATTCCATACCCACGCCCTGTGGGTCAGTTAGGTTCCACTTTTTCATTATTACAAACATTCAGTGAACATTCTTATGTATGTCTGCGTGTGCCCATGTGTGAGAGTTGCTCTAGAGTAGACACTTAGAAGTTAAATTACTATATTATGGGGCACACATAGTTTCAATTTCATGGGGTTTAAATTGAGCTACAAAGAAGTTATACCCATTTATACTGTCACAAGTGACATATTAGAGTGAGTTCTATTTGCCCACATTTTTGTTAATACTTGATGTTATACTTAATAATTTTTGCTTATTTTATGGGTATAAATTAGTATCCCAGTGTTTTAATTTGTATTTTCCTGATTATTAGTTACTTGAACATCTTCTGTACGTTCCTTCACCCATTTTTTATTGTTTATTAATGTGTTTTCTTCAGTACACATATGAACTAATATTGTGAAGGGACCCCGGCCCGGACCCTAGGCCGGACAGACTCACTTTTTAAAAATCATACTTCAGCTACTCCAGCTAGACTCTAAGCAGAAGTTCCTGTTAAGAACAAGAAATGGGTTACAACAGAAATATTAAGAATGTTTTGCAGAAGTAGTTTTGTCACAAGTGGCTTAGACCATTTCACAGGAACTAACAGCTCTTTTTGCTTCTGTACACCTGCTTTGCTTCTGCTGGGGAATAAAAGGTTAAAGAAAAACATTGCTCAGTTTCCCCTTACTCTCCCACCTCCCAGGAGGCCTTGTAGCAGTTCCCTCTTACCCCCTCCCCTTTCAGAAAACCTTGCAGCTGCTAACCTTAATGTCTCAAAATTAATTACATACATATTTCTGAGAAACAGTTTATACGATCAACTCAACCCTCAACCTGGTCACAATGTACTGTTAAGACACCTGGACATAACAACACTGTTGCAACAGCTGAATGCGGTTTTAACTAAAATAACTACACATTCTTTTTGGCTTCTGTAATTTACTTTGCATACAGCCCTATCTTATAAAAACCTTACCCCCCTGAGTCTTGGGGCCGTTTTTCCTTAGTCGGAGAGACGGTCGCTGAGCTCAGCTTAATAAAATCTTCGGAACCTTAATTTGACATCCAGCCTCTTTATTGATTGTCTGGACCCAACAATTGGAGTGATGCAAAGCGTGGCTTCTACAGAAGGGTGACATGCACATTCATGAATCATTCCATAATTTTTTAAATGCCACTTGTTCAGTGAGACCCTTCCTTACTACCCTCTTTAAAATTAAAACTACTCCTTTGTTTTATTGTTTTTGTCATATTTATTACTTTCCACCATGTGGAATGCATGTTACTTATGTATTTGTCTATTATCTCTTTTCCTGAGAGACAAAGAATGAAGACTCTTAGGAGTAAATAATTTTGGGGCCTTTTAAAAATTGTTGTTTGGTGCTGTATCTCCAGCACCTAGTCGGGCCTGGCACATAGTAGGCATTCATTAAAGTATGTTTGCATGCTTGAGTGAATGGCTTGTGAGTGTACTGATGCTTTGAAAAAGTTAATAGCAATCAAAATTAAGTTCAAGATGATATTGAAAGCATATTAGAGAAATCAGACAACTGAATACTTGTGTGGATTTTTCTGTATTTTATTAAATAAAGTATAATTTTTGTGCATTAATGTTTTTTTTACCTTCTTTCCTAGGCAACTTCTGTTTTTAAAATTACTTTTTGAATAGTAGGCATTATCAAAATTATCTTCTATAAAGTATTATTCTAAAGTAAATTTTAGGCCAGCCATACAAATAATTTTCATAATTCATTACATAAAAGCTTTATGGCCTGTACTAGCTAATTGATATTGGTCTGCATTTATCAGTATCACTTGTAGTTCTTGATTTTCATCTGCCTCCATATAGTAAAAGGCCCACATCTAGCTGGAGCAAATGTATACTTTTTCAAAATCATGGGTGTCCATTAAAACCAAAGAAACTACTTTGGGGGGAAGAAGTAAAGTAGATTCAATATATCCTGGTTAATTAGCTCTCCTATAGTTTTATTACTCATTCTTCTATTTTTTAAATTTTATTTAAACTGTTCGTAGTCTTATTTCATTGGTAATTAGGGAAATATTAGAAATGAAATGTTTTAAAAACTGTTGCATCTTGAACAAAATTAGGAGATTTTCCTTAAGAGTGGGTTTTTGTATTTAACACTTTGTTTAATCAATCACAAAATGAATCTCATTGTATTTCACACCTGTCCTACATGACTTAGGACTGTCTCAATTTATCTTTTAGAATTTGTAGGTTTTCCTTAAACCAGTATAAGATATTACAACAATATTTCACTTGTGTCTCCTCTGATTATATAACCATGTCAAGGAGTTTTTAGTTTACAAAACTACTCAGATTCCCTACTAAAAGTAGCATCCTTGGAGAAATGATTGATTCCAAGACTGAGGCAGGGAAAGTAAGTAAAAGATGAGCCTGGAATATCTTAATGTGGCAGAAAGTAAGTAAAAAATATTAAAGGACATGGGGGCTAGCCAGAAGGGGCTGCCACTGCCCAATTCTGGGATAATCAAAATAAATAATGACAGTAATAGATTATAAACCACTGAATAAAGCAAGCCCATGAGTGCATACTACTAATAAATACATAAATTAATAAATGAGGGAGAAGGGAAAGCTTTTCCTTATAGTCGAATGCAGTAAATTATTAAATTTCCATTTGGCATTATAATAATAATTGATGCAGTCAAGAATCATCAGGGGATGCTAAAACTAGTGGGTGTTAGTTTGATGAACAGAAGGATATTTGTATAGTTTCAAAATATCTTCCCACAAATTACTTAATAATTACAAAAGGAAAAAGAGTAGTTTTTAAGTTGAAAAAACTGGCAAACATAATCTTAACCCATTGATTAAAATTGATATCAATCACCTCATGATGTGAATCACTGGAAAGGATAACATCATCGCTTTGGCAGTGTATGCCTGCCAAAAATGCATAGCCTGAATTTACTCATGAAGAAACTTCAGATAATCCTAACTCTGGCCAGTATCCTTCAAAAATGTTGATATCATAAAAGACAAGCTGTTCCAAATTAAAGAAGACTAGGATACATGACAACTAAATGTAATGCATAATCAAGGATTATATCCTGGACCAGAAAAAGAAAAGTTTCAATAAAGGGCATTTTTGGGACAAATGGGGTAAAGTTTGAATATTGACTATAGATTATATCAATGTTAAATTTCCCGATTTTGATAATTGTACTGCGCTTCTAAAAAAGAATGTCTTTTTTCTTAGGAAATATAATACATAAACATTTAGGGGTAAACAATCATGATGTCTTAAAGTTAATTCGCACATGGTCCTGAAAAAACAATGTAAAAAGAAATATATCATCTGTCTGTATCTATATAATTATGTATTTAGATAGATCTATCTATCTATATACATAGAGAGGAAAGCAAATATGGCAAAATTGGGTGAAGAGTGTATGAGAACTCTTTGTACTCTTCTTGAAACTTTTCTTTCAAAAGGTTCCCCAGATAAGAGAAGTGCGAATCAAAACTATAGTGAGATATCACTTCATACCCATGGCTACTATCAGAAAAACAGAAAATAACAAGTGTTGGGGAGATGCAGAAAAGCTGGAACACTTGTGCACTATTGGTGGGAATGTAAAGTGGTGCCGCCAGTATGGAAAACATTATGGAGGTTCCTCAAAACATTAATAATAGAATTACCATATGATACAGGAATCCTACTTTTGGGTATATTCCCCAAAGAATTTAAAGCAGGATCTTGGAGAGCTATTTGCACACCCATGTTCGTTGAAACATTATTCACATAGCCAAGAGGTGGAAGCAGCCCAAATGTCCAATGATGAGATGGATAAAGAAAATTATGCAGCCTTAAAAAAGAAGGAAATCCTATCATGCTACCACATAGATGAACCTCAAGGACATTATGCTAAGTGAAATAAGCCATACTCGAAAGGACAAATATTAATGATTCCACTCATATCAAGTATCTAAAGTAGTCAAAATCCAGAAATAGAAAGTAGAAAGGTGGTTGCCAAGGGCTGGTGGAAAGTCAAAGAAGGAATCAGTGTTGCATGAGGATAGAGTTTCAGTTTTGCCAGGTGAAAAAGTTATAGAGACCTGTTGTATGACAATGTGAATTTACTTAACACTATTGAACTGTATGTTTAAAAATAGTTAAGATGGTCAATTTAATGTTGTGTTCTTTACCACAATTAAAAAGAAAAAGTTACTCTGGTAATTCTGATGACAGCCAGGTTTTGGAAACCCTACTGGTTTTACTATAATGTAAAAACAAGGCTACTTAATAAAGGCAGGGCCCAGAGCAATTTCTTTACTTTCCTGATTCTGTATTTTCATCTAACAGATTGAAAAACTGAAACAGCAATTGAATGAAACAAAGGAAAAAGCCCAAGAGGAGAAAGAAAAATTGGTGAGTATCTATGTGCATGAATACATCACTTCCTGGATGGTCAGGTTTCTGGCAAGCTCATATTGAAGACAATGAGAATAAATGAATAGATCCTCTGAGCAGCTCAGCAACCTTAAAGTGCTCACACACTTGTACAGAAGCTCAATAGTAACATAAAAATATGTTATTGTAGAAAACCATCTGTGGTGCTTACCGATCCTGAGTTTGACAGTCTTTTTAGGGCTTTTCAGTGGATCACGTTAGGAAATATTTATTTTTTTAAAGATTAAAATATATCGTAAAATATATGCTGAGCCCATACTAATGCTTTCAATTCAGACACAGGAATACAGCATTTTTACTTAACTTTATCTGTGTCTCCTTTTTCCCTCACCAAAAATCTTGATTCTTAATGATACCAGTATAATTGTGTAGTTGCTTTAAACCTCAGTACATCGACAGTCATAGAATACCAATACCAATACTACTACTAACATAGATAAGTGGAAACAGTTTAAGATTTTGTGGGGTCCTTTCCCCCTTAGGATATACACCAATAAGGATCTACTATCAAATTCAAAGTTTAAAAATCATTTGAAATAATTCCTTTCTTGTGAGGTTATGCCACTAACTCAACAACACATTTTGCTTTTGATTTCTAGGAGTTGCTTTTGAAAAATCTGTGTATATAAAATTATGTAATTATATAATTACAATTATGTAAAATATTTATGTGGTTCCAAAGTAAAACCTATCAAACATGGTATATTTGTATATACCATGATATAAATCCCTAACTTCTATCCATGAGTTCACAACATACCCGAGTATATTGTCAAAATGGGTTTTTGTTAACATGATAGGTGAGAAATGGTATCTCAGTGTATTTCAATTTTCATTTCTCTTATGAGGTAGGTCGAGCAGTTTTTCATATGTTTGAGGGTCATTTGCATTTTTTTTTCGTATCTCTTGTTCCTTTTTTTACTGGTATTAGTGATGCTTATGTTATTGGCTCTTTTTTCTTCTTCTTCCTCCCTCCTTTTCTCTCTTTTCTTCTTTTTTCTCTCTCCTCTTTCCTTTTATCTTCCTCCTCCTTATTTCTCCTCCTTTTCTCTCTTACCGGTTCCTTCCTCTTACTCCCATCTTCTTCTGTATTTATTTATTAGCAATATTGGCCCTTTCTTTGTCTCTTAATTTACTAATTTTAATTTAGGGTCAGGAATGTTATTTACATTTCTTACAGATTAAAACTTTGTTTAACTTTCCCATACCTCTTTTTAATAAATATCTGCATTTTCTATACAAGATCAGATCATTCTAGAATTTTTCTTATTCAAGGCACTTGATATCTTTTAACATAAATGGAAACTTTATGCAAAATAAAAAGGGGACATTTCTTCAAAGAAAATAGACAAGTGGCTTAAGACTTCAAATTGAACTTGATTCTGTGTGACTTACGTTCTTTTTCCTAACTCATTTACCTGGTTTTTTTACATATAGGAACAAAAGTATGCTGTGCAAATAAATGAGCTGGAGGAACAGTTTCATAAGAAAGCCAGAGAAATTGGCATGATTCAGACAGAGCTGAAAACAATAAAACAATTCCAAAAGAGAAAAATCCAAGTGGAGCAAGAATTAGATGATGTAAGTTTTTTTCTTTTTAAAAAAAGGAGATTAGAGTTCACTACTATATCTGCAAAAGCCTTCATAAACATTTACTCCTGTTAGATGGTAAAAGAATCCCTTTGACATTTCAGAGTTTTTGAGAGTAAAAGGATAAGACATATCAGTTTAGGACTGGATGCCAAAGGTCTTGATGGTTAGACTTTTCTTTTCCTAAGCACTGATTTCTTGGTAATTTCACCAAATCTTAACCAACACCTTCCCATGTTTTTTCAGCAGTTAAACCTTTGGAGTGGATTCAATAAGAAACAAACTACACTTTGAAAACATTAGGGGCAAAGCAGCAAAGTCCTAAAGGAAAATATGTTTAGATTGATGAATATAATTTTAGAAAATTTTAAGAAGGCTCTCTGGGTAGGGGTGGGTGGGGTGAGGAAAACTGAATACTTCCAGAAAGTTTCCCTGACTTTGCTATGCTCGTTCTCTTACTTTCCATTCCCTCAGTTCAGAAGTTAGCTTTATTACATTAGTGATAATGCAACAAATGTCACAGATGAATGCCAGGCACAAAAAGCTGAAATTAGCTTTGTGACTTTGGGCAAGTTACTCACCTTGGTTTTTCCTCATCTGTGAAATGGGGATAATAAGAGTTACTGTGTCATAAGGTTGTTGTAAGGATTAAATGAGTTTATATGTGTAAAGTGCTTAAAATAGTGTGTATCACATAGTAAGAATTATATTAACAGTGGTGTGTAGCTCTCTGCAAAAAAAAAAAAAAAAAAAAAGGTCCTGATTCATAGCATTTGTTAATTTCCTTGGGAGTAAATACTTTTATTATGGTTAATTTCAAGTTACCAATGCTTTAACAACCTGCTAACAAAATTCCTGATATGAGCTGGCTCTACCACACAACTAAATATTCGTGAATACTCTACTAATATTAGTAGTAGCATAATAATAGAAGTAGTATTGCCACCAAAGGTAACCATATAGCATTTAGTGTAGGGGTTAAAAGTTGGTGCTCTGAAGTCAGACTGCCAAAGTATTAATACTGTCTTCATTATTTGGGTATCTTGTTAAATTTCCTCATCTGTACCATGGAGATGAGAGAAATAGTACCAACTTCAAAGGGTCATTGTGAAGAATAAATGAAATCTATTTTATATGCCTAGCACTGTGATAAATATTACCTGCTGTTGCTTATTCTGCTGCTGTTATTACTCCTGCTAAAATTATGATTATTACAGTTAGTAATATTTAAGGCTCTTTTTAGATCTCTTTTAGTGCCCCTCACTCTCAATCATGGTGTGTCTTCCAAGCATGCAATGTCTCTCAGGCTCTCCTCGACTACCCTACTTAGCAAGAAGAAGCTTTGATGGGAAACAAAAGTTCTTCCACCTGTTTTTTCTGTCTACTTCTTAGCTAACTGCCAAATTGAAAGGGTATATGAGAAATGAATAAGGGAGATAAGATAATGTTGTGGTAGAGCTCATGGACTTCATATCCTGGCTCTGCAGCTGATAGCTACGTGGCCTTGGACAGCCTGTTAACGTCTCTGAGTCTCAGATTCCTCCTTTGTAAAATGTGGATATCGTATCACCTGCCTCCTCTTAGAGATGTGTGGATTAAATAACGAATGTGTGTAAAGTACTTAGCACAATTGCCTCAGATTGACTCTTAGTAAGAGTAGTAGCATAGTAATTTTTGATGTTTCGATTATTGTTTTGATTATATAGCTTTAAAAGTCTTAATAGAGGACTCTTTGAAGCTCTAATTAAAGAAAAGAATCAGCACATTTCAGGCAAGTTGGGGAGTGGGAAGGCACTTTCTTAGATTGACAGGAATGTGTTTTAACTCCTGGTCATAACTGTGTAGTTATCTCAGAATCTTCCCGTGAGGCTGACTTTGTTCATGAACTTGATTAATTGTTGCTTTATAACTGTTGCTTTAAAATTGTTCTTAATTTCTGTAGCTCACCATTATACAAACTCCTCTGCAGTATTTTCTGGGGAACTCTTTCTCCTATGGGTTTCAAGCCCTTTAAAGTCCTTAAAATAGGAGTTATATAACTGTCTTCTCTAGTTATTTTATGTTTGTGTTCTTTAATCTTTATAAACTAAGGGGAATAAAAGCCATATCATCTACTTGTGTGTGTACATGTCTTTGCTCACTAGCTCCTAGACTAGTACGTAATAATAAAACTTGCTAAGTGAATGATATGAAGAGCTGTTTAAAACTAAAACATTTCATAGAATTCATAGAATCTCAGAGCTGGGAGAAACTTTAGAGCCTATTTTAAGCCATTCTACAGATGAGGAAAACTGAGACACAGAGATGTTAAATGACTTTCATGGTAAGTTGTAGAGCTGGTAGCAGAACCCCAGTGTCCTGAATTCCTGTCGAGTACCTCTCGTCTTGCTCCCTCTATTTCTTTACCTGCATTAATTACCTATTACCGTAGAACAAATCACCCCCAAATTACTGTTTTAGTGGCTTAAAACAATAATAAACATTTGTTAAAAGCACAATTTCTATGGGTCAGGAATTCGGGAGCGGTTTAACTGGGCAGTTCTGGCTCAGGGTCTCTCATGAGGTGCCGTCCAGGTGTTAGTTAGCTACAGTCACCAGAGAGCTTGACTGGATCCTGAGGGGCTCCTTCCAACGTGCCAACTCATATGGTTGTCACATTGGTGCTGGTTGTGGACATATTTCAAAATCACCACAGCACCACAGTCCAAAATACACACTGACTGCGACAGGAATAGTCTTAAAATATCACAGTGCTGATTACCTCCCTCAAGGACCTTCTTTAGTGTTTCTCTGTTGTAAACAGAATGTCCGGATACCTGAGTGTGAGTGTCAAGACCCTACACCTACACTGGAGCGTTGCTATCTCCTTTTACTACACCTCCCCATGCACACCCCCTTTCATCCACCCAAACTGGGCATTCACTCACCCCGGAAGTCTTTTCTGCCTTTGTTACTTTGTTCATCCTGTTTCTTCTGCTTGGACTGTACTCCTGATAGATCTCTGTACATTAAAATTTTATCTGCTCTTCAAAGGCTCAGCTCAAATGCATGTTTTCCATGAGGCTTTCCCCCAGAGTCCCTTTTAAAAGGACTAATTTTTTTCCTGCCATCTGCAACAACTGGGATGCAACTTGAGGGTATTATGCTAAGTGAAGTAAGTCAGACAGAGAAAGACAAATACTGTATGATATCACTTATATGTGGAATTGAAAAAAAGCCAAACTCAGAGAAACCGAGTAGAGTGGTAGGTTCCTGGGCTGAGGGGAGGGGGAAAAGGGGAGATAGTGGTCAAAGGGTATACAATACAAGCTTCCAGTTATAAGAGTAACAACTTCTGGGGAATCTAATGTACAGCATGATAACTATAGCTAATAATACTGTACTGTGTACTTGAAAGTTGCTAAGAGAGTAGATCTTACATATTCTCACCACAAGAAAAGAAATGACAATTATATGACATGATGGAGATGTTAGCTAATGCTATGGTGGTAATCATTTTGCAACACATAAGTGTATCAAATCAATAATTTAAACTTACACAGTGTTATATGTCAATTATATCTCAATAAAGCCGGGGGGGGGAAATAAATAAAAAGAGCAGAAAATAAAGGAAACATTTTCTATGTGTTCCCATAGCATTTTGTGTCTCATGCCACCTAGGCCATTCTATCTTTTTTTTTTTTTTTAAAGATTTTTATTGGGGAATTGGGG